AAAATAGTTTTGTTTTCCATATTGACGAAAACTATTTGATAGAAATATTTTAATACATTTTTATATCCTTAAAATTTCAAAGTACTTCAAAAAGGAGAAAATATCAGAAAATGAAAAACTAGAAACGCAGTTTTACTTTATAAGACCACTAGTATCATGTGTATATGGTCTCGTTTAAGTCCAATAAATGCTGTTGCACGGTGTTATAGGATAACAAATTCAAAAACAATTCTTGACCAAAGATATCTTAAAAATTTATTTTTTAATTTTTATAATCCCTATACTAAAATTAGGTTATAATGTCAACGACAACAAATCGAGGGACTATATTCAATAGTCTCTATCTGTTATTTTCATGAAAATACGATTTTAATGGCAAAATATCCAGCAAACTATCCCGCATCAGTGATGCGGGATAGTTTGCTTGATTAAATCTAAACTTGTATTATTTTCGATAGAGACTATTGAATATAGTCCCCCGATATACAAAAATCTGAATAGGACCATGGGGATCTTCAGTTTAAAATTTTTATCTTTGATGAACAAAAAGAATTAAAAATTTCGAACAAAAAAATCGAAGATACCTTTTTTTGAGATATACTTGACTCAAATATGTTTTTGAATTCATTATCCTTGTTTAAAAAAAAAAACAAGCAAGAACACATAACCATTAATTTGAGATCGAGATTAATAAAATCGAGCAATTTATTTAGAAATTTTGCGATATTAAATTAAGACATGAACTTTGAGAAAAAATTTCGTTATATCTAAAAATTAACGATTTTGAAAATTCTTTAAAACTTTGAATTTTATATTTATTTGAAGATTAAGTGTACCAAATATCTCCAAATCGGAGAGGGTATGCGAACCCTGTTTGAAATATGTTAAAAAGACCTTTATATAAAAAGACTATACTAGAATGAAAATAATTGTTAATATTTATAAAAAATATATAAAAATCCCCAAAAATAGCGCAAAAATTGTAAAAAATCCGCAAACCCCCCACGAAAATCTGTCCCCAAATAAAAGTTGAAATCCCCAATTTGGGGACAAATTTTAACATTTGGCGACACTGTTAGTAAAATATTTATACAGAGGAAAAAAATATACACGCCTGGTACCAAATTGACACAAAATTTATATAAATATACACGTCTGGTACCAAATTAACACCAAATTTTTCAATAACATCCATTGTCAAGTATATACATACATACAACAACAACATGTAATGTAGACCACGCAACTTTGTCAACATTGCAACAATTCGTTATCGCAATCTAAAATTTATGCACATCCGCTGTCTAAATGTTAACAAACGTGGTAAGCTCACTATTGTCAACGCATTTTAAGCTTACCACGTTTGTTATTCTATATTTAATATTCTATTTATGTAGTTTTCTACGGACCAAAATCTCTCTACCAAATTTTACGAGGATCCCGTGAGAATTGATCCTACCACCCTTATAAAGCTTAAAAATAGGAGTACAGCGACGAAATTCGACAAGTTTTGTACAAGCCAAAATTTTATGAGGATCGGTCTACAACTGATCCTACCCTCCATATGACTAACGCTCATTACTGGCTTAAAAAAACTGACTGTATGAACCGAAATCGTTCTACAAAATTTTAGAGGGTCACACCACAACTGACTCTACCACCATACAAGGTCTTCTTCCTTACATAACCACTTACTTTTCAATGACTTCTACTTACCGCCTACATTACTTTTAAGTACTCTTATAATGACTTACATATAATCATACAAACAAGTACTTTATTTCGAGTTTTGCCGTTCTATTTGCACATTTTATAAAATTGCGCGCTAGAAACATACACATAGAATGAAAATAACTTTTCTATGAAAACCATTATTGTACGCACAATAAAATAACTAGCAGTGGTGTTGTGAGTAAGACAGCGAACAAACAAACAATTGTGTGAGCAATTTTTGTGTTTTTAAACTCCTTATTTATAAGTACTTATATAAGTAGTGATTTGTAAGCGAGCGTGATACTTGCCTTCAATGTCATGACCGTCTTAAAATATAGAGTTAAAATGCTAAAGAATATGAAGTGAAAAACGGCTTTTTTAGCTTTTTAACTCATTACTGGTAAGTTTTTATTTATTCACTATTAATTTATATGTATAATTAATATTTAGATAAAACTAATTTTTATATAAGTGGTTAATAATATCAATTGTTCATTAATTCATAACATCCGAAAAGAAATATTACAACAAAAATTTTTTTCAAACAGTTACAATAAAAATATTCAATTTCACATACTACCATTGAAGTTTTGAAGCTCATATAAATATAAGTGATCAGAAATATTGTCAAAATTTTTAGTGTAAAATTTTAGGCATTTATCTTTAAGAGATAAAAAGTTACAGATTTATGATCAGAAAACTACAAAAAATTTTCCACTGCGCAATGTCACAACAAACTCCTCCGCCACTTCAACCGTCACTCCATCCGCCATTCCGACATCTCCACAGATACAAATCAGAATCCCTTTCATCCGATGGTACATCGCACACCAACGCATTCCCAATCTTTGCATTATCAGCTCAAATCCAATATTTTATTAATTCAAAGCCTTGTCTTGTGGTTTGTCCTAGAAACTAGTAGCGACAAAATAAATTTATCTCAAAATTTAAATTTCACCGAGTATAAATCTTTTAACCAAGCACCCCTTTCATTCCAAGGAAAGGCCAAGAATACATTTGATCATCACCAATATATAGTCCCAGCAGACTAGAGGTACTGGTAGCTCTATACCCTGGGATTGCAATACACCAAGATGGAAACATGGCACGGGGGCTGCTCTGTGGAATATCTGTTGTCTGGGCAAGACCGCAGAACTTATCTCTAATTATAGACTTTATCGTGCATCAGTCGTTTAACCAACATTCTTTCCCGCAAATTTGGGTTTAAACCACAGCCACCACGTGCACCTCGAGGGACCTCTCCAATAACTGGGACAAGACAAAATCCTAAACTCTAAGCTACTGGTTCGACCAAGGAAAGACCGCGGATACATTTGCAATAATTTCCCTGGGATTCCAATAACACCAAGATGGAGGAAGAATCATCAAGGTAAAATGCTCCCGGGGGTGTTATAGGGAGAACAGTTAAGAAGTTTTTTTTCATTCAATTTCAATAACTATTGGAACGTTTTTTGTTTCATTTTGAATTTTATCAGAAAGCAAGCAGATTTTTTTTTAATTTGACGACCCTCCGCCACATCTAAAAAGGATTGGGAAAATTTAAAAAAATTAAACCCAAATATCTCTTGAGACAAAAGAGATAAGAAATACATGTATGCATGTATGGGAGATGACCCCACAAATGTAAGGCCACAAAATTTTGAAAAATCGAACTTTACATAACATAGTTAATTAAAACTTGTAAAAAGGGTGTTAATGGCGACTACCATAATGTACATTAGAGAGTCCTGAGGAACAGCCTTTTTAAAAAAAAATTTTTTTTGTTTTTTTTTAATGGTCCTCAGAAAAAAAATATTTTTTTTGGAATTGTCCTCAGTTCCCTACCAGCGATTGAAAATCCTGACCTTAGTATAATTTTTGAAAAAAAAATATATATATATAAATAATTTTGCATTTGGTTTAGTCCATTTCAGTGTTTTTTGAAATGTCCTTGTAATACAATAAAAGTCGTTTTGCTGGCCAGAAATACACTAAAAAAATTTAATTATTTTTTCCCGCGATAAGCTCAAAATTATCCAATTCAGAAATTTTTTTTAACACATTGAACTGAGATCAAGATTTTCAATCGCATACAGTGAACTTAGGACCTTTTCAAACAAATTGTTTTTTATTTTTCTCGTATTTAGTACATTGAAACGCATAGAAGCATTCCTCCAAAAATGTGGTCGACGGACACCCTAATGTACATGTATTCACATTGACACTCATTCACAATTGTTTAATTTTTTTCAAAAGAAGAGAATGTGAACTAGGTGTTCTAAAAACATTGTATAAATTACACTAGACAACAGTGAAAATGCCTTTTAAATAAAAATAGCTGATTCCTATGTATTTCCAATATGTATTTTTATAAAAACGTTATTTAAGACTTATATACATCCTTATTCTAACTAATTAATTAACTAACTGACTAACTAACTAACTAACTAACTAACTAACTAACTAACTAACTTTAATTTAAGATAAATGAGTTTGAATTCTTTTTACAATATAGTACCAACACATAACAATAATATTTTTTAATAATAATTTAAACATCAACAATTATATTTGGTATCCAATTCGCTATTGGTATCGTATTGTTGTATCATTGTTTGTCATTAATATTTCACCGACAAAAATTTCACCGACAAAAACAAAAGAATAGTGAAAACTTAAGACATACAACACCACGGCACCGATCATAAAGATGGTATTAATTCGGCTTCATGAGTATGTGAAAATAAGAAAAAAATTGAATTTAATCCGAAATTCTGATCCAACCCCATAGATATTTTTATAAGGCACGCAAAAAGATTAATTTTGTTGACTTGTGTTATGATCAGTGTTGCCACTTTGGTAATTATTAACCAAAATTGGTTATTTTTATTTTGCATGTGACATTTGAACTATTTTTTATTTTTGGTTATTTTTTGCAAACAAAATGCTGATTGCTTTTATTCTTTTTTTAAAATGTAAAAAATAAAAAAACTTCTTTGATCTCTAGTAATAAACCAACTATGTAAATAAACATACATATATACCACCATCAAAATAGATGGGGGTATACATGTTGATTTTGTCATTCCGTTTGTAACACATCAACACATTGGTCATAGACCCACCAATGTATATATATTCAGGGTTCTTATTAAAATTTAAGACGATCTAACCATGACCGTCAGTCTGCCTGTTGTTTGAAAACACGATAGAGTCGAAACAAATCAAAATTAATAGCTGAAATTTTGCCAAAATATTTTTAGTTGACACCGTTTGAATCTGCTTACCTTTTGAATTTAAAAGAGTGAACAACACGTGATCTGGTGAGGTAGTTGCTCTCCATCGAAGAACGCTAGTAATTAATTGATGCTAGAAATAGAAATTAGAAGAATTTATTGTTATTTCATATTTATATTAACACTTAGTAAGTAATTAGCCCAGAACAGTTTAGATACAACAACAGAAAATTTCCTTTTGTTTAGAATATATATTTTTAACTTCAATAGCTTATGTAAACATTACAAATTTGTTTATACATTGATCAAGTAAATAATTTTTACTTCCATCTTCGCGTTACTTACTTAACGGTTACTGATCTTTAAGTACATGTGTATAACGAACAGACCTCAAGTAATTTGCTACTTGCCTGTTGCAGAGATACAAGCCGATGCAAAATGATCGGCGGCGGCGGCGCAACCATTTTAGGTCGGCGGGGGCGGCTTATTATAGAAAATATCGGCGGCGGCTAAATTGTCGGCTCAATTTAACTTTTTCTTCAGAAATTGACCTTATAAGCGTTTATTATATTGAAAAATCTCTGTATAATAGTCTGTTATATAGAAACCTGTCTCTATATAAGTTTTTTCTGCAGAAAATGGACATTATTATAGTAGTTATCACTATTTTAATATTAGCACAATATTGTGTGGCAACTCTTTTGAATTTGCCATAAGAATTTAAAATAGTGGCAACTCTGTTCAAATTGGTGAAATTATTTTCTGAAAGACATGTGCGATTCCAATCTTTATCAGCGGCTACGTTTAAGCCGGCTTAGCTTTTGAGCCGAAAGAAGTCGGCGGCGGCGCGGCATGTTAAATATTACCGGCGGCCAGCCGCCTCCGATTTGAGCCGTCTCGGCTTGTATCTCTGGCCTGTTGACGAGTAGCCGCACTGTAAACCATTTTTTGAGAAAGCGGTCAAAAATTAATAATTTTGATTGGATTGTAATTTTAAAACGCTCTTCTTATATTTGTAGGTGGGACTTTAGGATTTAATTTTTGTATTAAAACTTAAAAATAGACCCATTAGGAAAAATGTTATTAAAATCAACTTTTTTAAAATTCAAAAGGGCGTAACAACAAATTATTCATTTCCACAAGTAAGAAAGTCCTAAAAAGCAACATAATAGACAATGTCTGGCGGCACATTTACATTCAAACATGTTTATTTATGTTAGCGTATAATTTACGTGACCAGATGGTTTTTGAATAAAAGCGGGATCCTATTGATTAAAAAGCGAGATTTAGAAGAAAAAAATTTGAAAAAGCGGGATTTTGAAAATTGACATTCAATAAATTGGGATTTAATAAAACTAAATATCAAAACAAGTAAAATGTTATATTCGTCTAAGACGAATCTTATAAACCCAATAAAAACGTCCTAAACATTTGTTTTCTTTTTTATTTTCATATTCAAATATTTTTTATTTTTTTTTAATAAACCACTGGCCCTTTTTTAAAATATCATGAATTCCAGAAAAGAACACAGAAAAACTGACAATTTTTGACCTCATGTCTTCCAATTGCCTTCATACTCTCAATATAAGTTCTTGAAGTAGAAAATATTGTTTATTTTCAAATATTTCAAGAAACGCGATTTTTATGGCGATTTTAGTTTATTCGAAAACTACAAAAAATCAAAAAGGTATAAAACTTTGAACCTTTATATCTTTGAGAGTTTATATCTAATTTTTTTGATTTAGAAGAAAAAAATTTGAAAAGGCGGGATTTTGAAAATTGACATTCAATAAATTGGGATTTAATAAAACTAAATATCAAAACAAGTAAAATGTTATATTCGTCTAAGACGAATCTTATAAACCCAATAAAAACGTCCTAAACATTTGTTTTCTTTTTTATTTTTATTTTCATATTCAAATATTTTTTATTTTTTTTAATAAACCACTGGCCCTTTTTTAAAATATCATGAATTCCAGAAAAGAACACAGAAAAACTGACAATTTTTGACCTCATGTCTTCCAATTGCCTTCATACTCTCAATATAAGTTCTTGAAGTAGAAAATATTGTTTATTTTCAAATATTTCAAGAAACGCGATTTTTATGGCGATTTTAGTTTATTCGAAAACTACAAAAAATCAAAAAGGTATAAAACTTTTAACCTTTATATCTTTGAGAGTTTATATCTAATTTTTTTGATTTAGAACCTAATCTATTACTGTGGATGAGCTCTTTCATTCTAATATAATTTTTATATTAAAAAGTTTAATATAGTGCATTATTTATGGTAATGCACTTTTTGAATGCATTTTTGAAATCGTTCTCCCTGTTTAAAATTTTTTAAAAGTGCATATGTCGATTATTCGAAGCTTTTTATGCAAAATATAAAAATATTTTTTTGTGACGTTCATAACATCTATTTTTGCCGATTTTTTTAAATGTTTTATATTAATAATTTTTTTAAATTTTATTGATATTTTATGCATTTAACAGAATTTAAAACTGCTTAAAATACATTACTGATCACAATTGGGATGCAAATATTTAAATTCGATTATAACTAATGTCCACTTTCATAAAAATGCATTTCTAAATAATATTTGTTAAGATAAATGCATTTTTGTTGCAAATTGGATGCATTTTATACATTTTACTCTATGTTTAACGTATCTTGTAAGTGCATTATTGATAAATTTATATAAAATAAAAATTTATATATTTTTTATGGGCACTTGAAATTACTTAAACTAAAAAAAAATAATTTTCAAAATATCGCGAAAAATGATAATTGCATATTCGTTTAATAAAAAAATCTTATAGAATATAAAAACAATTAATAATTAATACTTTCAACAGGGAGAACAATTTCGAAAACGCTCTTGCATCAAAAATGCATCTATCTTAAAAAATATTATTTAGAAATGCATTTTTATGAAAGTGTACATTAGTGGTAAATATTTGCATTCCAATTCTGATCAGTAATGTATTTTAAGTAGTTTTAAAATCTGTTAATTTCTTAAAATATCAATAAAATTTAAAAATTTTCCAATATAAAACATTTTAAAAAATCGAAAAAATGGATGTATGAACGTCACAAAAAAATATTTTTATATATTGCATATAAAGCTTCAAATAATCGGCTTATGCACTTTTAAAAAATTTTAAACAGGGAGAACGATTTCAAAAATGCATTCAAAAAGTGCATTTCCATAAACAATGCACTATCTTAAACTTTTAATATAAAAATTATATTAGAATGAAAGAGCTCATCCACAGTAATAGATTGGGTTCTAAACCAAAAAATCCGATATAAACTCTCAAAGATAAAAAGGTTCAAAGTTTTGTTTTTTTTGTAGTTTTCGAACAAATTAAAATCACCATAAAAATCGCGTTTCTTGAAATTTTTAAGAATTTTTTGTTGATATGTCTTATATGTTTAATAGAGTATGTGTTTACAAAAAATTAAAGAAATCTGAATACCATCGGTCAATTCTTATTTGGTTTCTCATGGAATTCATGATATATGCAGTTAATCTCAAAAATAAGTATACAGAAATACTGACAATTGGTTTTATTTAAAAAATGATATTAGTTTTTCAAAAATCAAAAAAGTAACACATTTATTTATTAAAAACAATTATGATAATTATTATTCACTACTTTTTTCCGGGTTATTTTGGTTACTTGAGTTCTCATTCAAGGTGTAGTTAAATAGGTGCAAAATTTACGTCACAAAAGTAAGTATACAGATAATTTCAATATGTATTTGGCTTAATGATATTAACAAAATTCATGAAAATTTTACCTGTTTGAATGTAATTATTTTATAATAAAATATTCTGCACACTATAACATGGAAAAAATTCACTTTTTGTTCCGAAAAATTGAAGTTTTTGGTAATTGATCTGAATATTATTTATAGGAGCATTTTTTCCTATTTAAGAACATCTGACTATTTAAACCCCCGGAGTTTTGGATCGGGTATTCAATAACATCCCTCGTTTGTTCATTATGATACATTAGAAGACGATATTTTAACTTTTAAATTAATTGTTTCTTTACAATAATTGCAATCCATTGCGGAACATTGCCGTTTTTAACATAGTATAGCGTTCATATTCGATATTTAATGGCGATTTCCTAAAATATATATCTTAAAATGCGATATTAATAATATTTGTACTAGTATCCATTAATTAAAACAAGTTTTTTGGTTCCAATCATCCATTACACACTCCTAAATACTACCAATAAAAATGTCCGATCCATAAAACATGGTTATTGTATCGACTATATCAAGATATGATTGGTAGCATTATTGTATGCTTTCGAAATCGGAGTATTTCGAAAACCTATTTAAATTAAAGGAAATATATAGAATTATCCAAATTTTAAAGTTTATGTTATAAGTCTTAAGAAATCGGAGTTAAGTTTCGGTTTTTTAAAAACGTACTGTGTTCAAAATAGCCAAAATCATGCACATAACATTAATTTCGAAATAACAACTCTTTTCAAAAGTTAAAAATTCTATTTCCAATGCATCATTTGGAGGGTTCAATGACCACCAGATCCAAAATCCGGTGTCTAAAGTGTAAAAAAAATCGTAGAAATGAGAAAAGACTGTTCTACTAATTAATTCCGGAGCCAATCGGCCCAAATTTCAAGATTTCGGAACTAAAAGTAGATGTTTTCCAAGTTATTGTGTAAAAAAATATTTTATTAAAAAGTAATTATATTAATACAAGTAAAATTTTCATAAATTTTGTTAATATCATTAAACCAAATATATACTGAAATGATCTGTATACTTACTTTTGTGACGTAAATTTTGCACCTTTTTAACTTCAGCTTAAATGAGAACTCAAAGAACCAAAATATGAATAAAAAAAGTAGTAAATAATAATTATCATAATTGTTTTTAATAAATAAATGTGTCACTTTTTTGTTTTTTGAAAAAATAATATCTTTTTTTTAATAAAACCAATCGTCAGTATTTCTGTATACTTATTTTTGTGATTAACTGTATATCCCACTCGCATCCCACTAAATAATCACAAGGCTTTCTTTTGAGCATAAAAAATACAACAAAAACGTCCATTTTGAAAATAATAGGGGAAAATTAGGTGCCAAATATTGAAAAAAATTTATTCTTTAAATAATTTTTTTTAATGGATATCCCACTCGCATCTCATTATGAAACTATAAAGCCCTTTAAGGAAATTGCATAAGCTTTCTTTTAAGCAAAAAATAATAAAAAAAAATATATTTAAAAAAATAGCTATCTGAACTCTTTTAGAAATTTTTGCTTGGACCAATAGGCGAAAAGTTACACTCATTTGAATAAAACCCTCTATGACCAAAATGTCCACCTTTGACCCCCTCTGACTCCAGTTCTTGACCGATAGAGCTGAAAATTTGTGTCCGGCCTACTATCTCATAGTACCAACCTTGATGCAAATTTCATCCACATCGAAAGACATCGATTTTTAAAGTTGGGTCACTTGACACGAAATTCCCCACATACATATATAAGGCATTAATTATTTTCAGTGCACTGAAATGTCAAAAAATGGCTGTGATGGTTGCCCGATTTACATGGAAAATCCAACCCTATAATTATATAAAATGGACTCTTTGTTTAATTGATTGTGTGTGTTTGTTTTTTACGCTTTCACAGAAAAAGTTCTGAATCAGTTTACATGAACATTGGAATATTCTCAAAATCTTGATCTTTGTAGTTTACACCTTATTTTCATTCGAGACATACAAAAAACTGGTTTAAGATTGACCAATTTGACTAAAACTTCGGAGATATATTTTATTTCATCTGGACTGTAATTCTCCGAAAATACTTTATTAAAAATTCATATCAAATAATTAAAGCGTATTCTTTAAAATATTACAAAAAGTTCCATTTTTCCGAAATCCGCAGAGTACAGCTAAACTGTAAGAGTTATATTAATTTTTTATTCCCTTGAGATCTCCCAAAAATTTTAAAATTAGCGTAACTAATTTTCAAAAAACTAATATTGGTAATTTAAAACGGCAGTTTAAAAAATAAAATTTTTGCCCATAGCTGAGAACAGAATTAAGTTATAATGAGAAAAACTCTTATTCGGGTAATTATACATAAAAAATATATTTTATGTAACAAAACAGTTTCTTTAGAATATATCCAAAAAAAGTAAATTTTTTTGTCACATTTCGCATTCAAGTGCTGTTAATGGCCTGGCGAATTTGCAATAACTATTTAATTTTTGAATCTTTCCGCAATACATATTCTGTGTACATTAGATTTCGTTACATTAAGTACAAAATTAATTACATATAATTACATATAAACAAAATTAATTACATAAAATTCGCAAATATTTGGAGCACTCTAATGTATGTATAGTCGAGTATTTGTATATAATTTTAAAACACTCACTATTTTACTTTTTAAGATATACACATTTTTACTTTGTATGAAAGGAATCACGTCCACGTTCTAGCCTAAAATTTATTGCTATTCCAATTATTCTTCAACCAAATTGATACTAAAGCTATTTTTACAAAAGTTGAGGACCTGCTGTCCAAATATACGAACTTTAGTATTTAATTAATTGGGATCGTGGGACGCCCACGATTACAAGTTCCAAATTTTTTTTCAAATGCAAATATGGATATCAATGTTTGCCGTGCAAAATTTGACAATTCTAGCTGTAATGGATACCCAGATATACATATGAATTTTTATATTTATTTCACATAGGAGGAGTCACACTTCCTTTAAGAAAATATGTCTAGTCGTTTAGCCTTTAAACAAATCACAATAAATAAACACAAACTCAGATTTATATATGTATACTGATTCATATAGTAGGTGCCACAACCGTCCGATCATTTTTTCCAAATTGTTTATTTCGGTGTTGCTCGTGCAAAATTTCAGAATTCTAGTTCTTATTTGTCTTATATACTAAAGTGGGTACCACAAAAGATTAAGACCATAAGGCCAATAATTACAACAATACATATTTCGAAAAAAATCTTGAAACCGGTATTTTTTAACATAACAATTGATTAAAGAGAAATTAAATATAAATACCTTTCTTTCGTTATCCTCAGATAATCCAAGATCACGTCCATGAGCAATAGCAAGTCGGTTTCCTTGCACTAAATTTCCAACCATGACTGAAGCAGGTCCCACGGAAGTGTCTGTAATACCACATCCAGATGAACTTAGTTTTGCGGTAGATTGCACACCTTTTATGATGTTAGTATTAGAATGTAAATTTCCAACCAATTAAGCACATTATGATACAGAGTAGGTGTTATTATGGTAGTAGAATATGTATGAAATATGTAAGTGTGAATAAATAAATTAGGATGCAAAGGATGATAAATATTATGTCTTAAATATTTTTTAGGTAGTTGATAGATTAAGTGATTAGATTAAGTAAGTCAAATTTTATTTAGTCAAGAAAAGATACAATTGTATAACAATACATAGATACATATCGTCCCTGTTTTGATAAATAGTACCATGTAGGTTTTAATGGTTTTCCTAAAAGAAAAAAAACAAGTAAGAAATTATAGACGGGCGAGGCCGACCATATAATACCCTACGTCTGTTACAAAAATAAAATGTGATTTAGTTTTCATAATAAAGCATTTAAATTGAATTGTACCTTGCCTAAGATATACTTAAGCCATTTATTTATAGAATAATATTGTGGACATTTAAGTCAAATTTTGAAGTGGTCTTTGGATAGGGACTTTGAATGAGGGTCATCAAGGCTAGTATAGAACTTGGTTTTGCAGCTTTTTGTCGAGATACGAGTATTTTAAACATAATTATGAACTGAAAAGCCCTATTCGTCGGGTTCAGTTGTATGGGGGGGTAAGTGAAATAATGGACCGATGTTAACCATCTTCAATAAATAGGTTCGTCTCCGGTACCATAGAAGATCATGTGGCAAATTTGATTGAATTATCTTCAAAATTGCGACACGTAGTTTGATTACAAGGTTTACGAGCCTTATTCGGGAGTTCAATTGTATGGGGGCTAGGTGAGATAATGGACTGATATTAACCATGTTCAATAGGCTTCGTCTTTTGTTTGATTACAAGGTTTACAAGCCCTATTCAGGGGTTCAGTTGTATGGGCTAGGTGAAATAATGGACCGATCTTAACAATAGGCTTCGTCCCTGGGACAATGGAAGATCATGTAGCAAATTTCATTGAATTATCTTCAAAATTGCAACGTGTAGTTTGATTACAAGGTTAACATAGTCGGACATAGCTAAATCGACTCAGAAAAATACATACTAAATTCTTATTAAATTATTTATTTTAGAATTTCGACTTATTAGCACATTATATGTTATTGCAAAATTTCAAAAGGTTTAGAAGTTGCAGTTATACTTATAATTAGGTTGACTTAATCTACTAAAAGTAGCAAACGATATGTATGTACATATATATATATATATATATATATATATATATATATATATATATATATATATATATATATATATATATATATATATATATATATATATATATATATATATATATATATATATATATATATATATATATATATATTATATATATATATATATATATATATATATATATATATATATATATAAACAGCCTTAACGGGCATATACATTTTAAAAGTACTAGTATAGAGATGAAACTCGACATAAATAAGTTTTATATGATATCAATTCTCTATACCACATTTTATGAGGATCGGTCCATAATTGACATCCCATATATAGGCTTTAACGCCCATTACTGGCTTAAAAATACGAGTCTAGCGCTGAAATTCGATATAAGTAAGTTTCTTACGAGCCAAAATCGAATTTTATGTGTATCGGTCCATAATTGATCCCACCCCCCATATAAGGTCCCCCTCAGAAAATGACTTTAACGATCATTACTGGCATAAAAATACGAGTATAGCGATGAAATTTGACATAAGTTAGTTCTTTACAAGCCAAAATATCTCTACCAAATTTTATGTGGATCGGTTCATAATTAACCCCAACCCCCAATAAGGTTTCCAGAAAATTAAGTTCCTTGCGAAATAAAATCTCTTAACCAAGTTTAATGTGGATCGGTCTGTACCTACCCCCATAAGGTCGCCTTCAGAAAATTACTACTCATTACTGGCATCAAAGTACGAGTATTGAGATGAAATTCGACATAAGTAAGTTTCTTATGAGCTATAACCTCTCTACTGGCTGTATGGGCATATGATTGAACCGCATATAAGCTCCCCTGTAGAAAATTACTTGAAAGGTCATATGGCTTAAAAATACGAGTATAGCGATGAAATTGACAATTGTAAGTTTTATACGATTTAAAATCTCTCTACCAAATTTATTGAGGATCGGCCTATAATTGAGCCTACCCATATATAGGGTCCCCTTCAGAAAATTGCTTTATTATTATTGCTGGCCTTAAAATATGTGTACAGTTATGAAGTTTGATATAAGAAACTTATATATTCGTACCGAATTTCATGCGGAAAGTGTCGTTAACTCATTCTACCCGCCCATAAAAACATCCCTTCAGAAAATTACTGGCATAAAATGCGAGTACAGCGATGATATTTGATGTAAACATGTTTATATGTAATATCACACTGATGTTTATAGGGGAGCATTCCTTTTAAGGCATATGGTTTGATGGTGGGTATATGAGATTCGGCACAGCCATCAAATTTGCTAGAGGCAATTATGTATAGTACATATAACATTTTTAAGCCAGTTATGAGCGTTAGTTCCTTATGCGTAGCGTTAGTTCCAATTAGGTAGCGATACTCATAAAATTTGGGAAACACTTCGGTTGCTATATATATAGTTTTTTAAGTCAGTTATGAGCGTTAAAGTAGTTTTTTGAGGTGGACCATATATGGGGAATGGGTCAAATGTGGTCCGATAAATTTTAAACTTTGTATTGTAGATATGTATCCTTTCGAGGGACTCCAAAATTAAAAATTTCAGAGCCCTACGTACTATCTGTGATTTATAGATTCAAAAACTCGTCATTCCGCCTATAGTGAGTTATAATGAACTATTTCCGAAGAACTTATTAGGATTACTTAAGAAACACAATATTGTTCCTCAAAACTAGTTCTAGAAGTAAATGCGATATCATTATTTCCAAGATTGCTGTTCAATCTGAAGTTTTTCTCTAGGTAAATCAGAACAAATTCTTAAAATGTTTCTGAAGTATTGTTATAAACACCATCAAATAAATTTGGATGGAAATTTAAGGAATAAATAAACAAATGTATTACAAAGATATTGAATTTTTTATAATATTTACACAAACTTTACTGTTAAATAGTAAGTTTTTATTCATCGGATTATTTATTATATTAAATTTGGCAATTATCGTTTATTTGAACGATTACCGATTAACCGAAGGATGATTAATCGATTGAATACAATAGTAAATACCTAACAAAAAAATAAAGTCATGCTTTACAAACGATATTTTAATCACATAAAAATGCGAAAACCAAACATTTCCTTAAAAATAAAAATCCAGTAAAATATGAGGAAATGGATATACAACTAAGAATAAAATTTTGGTGAATAACCAATGAAATTTACAACATCCCTCCAATGAGAAGCTAATGTTAAATTCATTGGATTTTCTCCAAAATTGGAAATACTTCAAGTATTAAATCATTTTCCTGTATAATGTTAAGTTAAAAACTTAAAAACAGTAGAGGATGGAAAAGATTCATAATGTGTAAAATTTTGCTACGTTCCAATTTGACATTTTAGTCAACATGGGCGTAGCCAAGAAGTATTCGAATTTTTGAAAAAAATCGAACACGAAACTAATTGACCAATTAAAATGAAATTTTGTATATGAATAGGCTTTTATCTTCTAATCTAACTTCAATAATTATATTTTTGATTATTGGCTTAGTTTGGAAAAAATGGTTTCAGAGCTTAATTAGAGAAAATTTATTTTGCACGAATATAATAAAAATTAGAGTGTTTGTATACGTTTGATATCAAAAAACTCTTATTTATCATATTTCTTGATTGGATTATTGAGAATAGAAAATTAAGTCCAAATTTAAAAAAAAAAGTATTTTATTATGCCAGCCATTTGTTTTTGTGGGTGAAAATCAAAACCCGTTTTTACAAGTGATAAAATCAGTGGTGAAATTTATGGAGAATGCTTTGAAAATCGGATATTAATATTTTTATGATTTCACACAACAAACCCCTTATTTTGATCAAACCTAACCAGAGACGGAATTAAATGATTTTTGTAATGAAATGAATTGCAATGAATAAAAAATTTGACTTTGTACTAATCCCTCAAATTGAAATGACACAGAAAAACGTCGAGATAGGTATACTTAATTTTAGGTCATAAAATCTAACATCGTACTTTTGAAAAGATAGGTAAAAATAAGAAGATATTGCAATTTGAAGTTTGCATTGTCGTCTCTGAAGAAAATTTTGATGCCTTAAGGAAAAAAACTCGAAAACTCCTTTAAAATTACTTAATTTGTTTTTATCTAAGTCCCTTTTCTTTTGCAAAAATCAAAAACAAAAAAAGGTTAAAAATAAATTTTAACTTTATTATTTTGTTTTTACCGATTTTTGGTTTTCAATTTCATTTTATTTTGACGGCCATTATGGTTAGAGTTAAGTTTCAACAGATAAACAATAAACTTTAGAAAATATAACTAAGATCTTTAGGTATAAGCGCAGTTTAGTACCCACAAAAGTCACGTGCAAAATATTTTTTTTTTTAATTTTGTTTTAATTGGTCAATTAGTTTTGTAAATATCAACGATTAAAAGTTGTTCGATTTTGGTGGGCTTTAAGAAACTTATTGACAAAAAGAAAGAATGCCTTACTTTAAGATAAGAAATGAAATACACGAAATTAAATAATCGATGATATGTTAGGAATAACCAGATTTTAATTCGTAAAAGTCTTCGAAGTTTAATGTTAGACCGATGCCAAAGTCTTGCTAGACAATCAATATAGTGGCCAAATATGTATGAATAAAAAATTACACATGCCAACGAAATGAAGGTTTGGAAAAACTCTTAAAACCAATTTGACTTGATTTTATGTATTTAATGATGCTGAATTAGAATCAGTTTTGGTGCTGAATTGATACCAGTTTCTCTTTATCACCCACAATTATATGAACATTTTATTTAATAATAAAAATATATTTACGTTTAAAGGTTAATTTCGGG